CCCATAAACATCTACATGTATCCTCGATTACAAATCAAAATGCAGAAGCCGTTGTCTCCGGTTCTCTACACTAACCATACAAAAGACAGCAACATTAAGCTACTATTTTACACCGGTATTCTGTAGGAGCGTGGACCCCGGTCGAGCCGACCCATTCGTGCTACAACTATACTACTAATATAACTGCAGCATGGTTCTACCATGTATAAAATTCTCATCTGTTGGGTTCTATAAATATATTATAATTGTGAATGGAAATGAAATGATAACCTGATAAATATACATAAATATCAATCAAATAAAATAAAAACAAAATTCATACATAAATAAATAAAATCCCAACCAGATGGAAGCCCTCGGCAGGAGAGACTAAACGGCTGAGGTTAGGGTTAGGGTGAAAGGGAAAGAAACCGGCGGACTATACGGGCGGTATCGAGGAGCACCGCCTTCTGCATTTGAGCCCGGAGCGGTCCGTCACGGAGTCCCAGTCGCCTCAGATGACATGAAAGGCTGACTGGAATTAGCCCGTTTGTAGAAACGACTACAGGCATAATTTCGGTCGGCAGACCATCCCACCTGTCGGTCACCTCGTGAGTCAGGTCCAGATATTTTGTTTGCTTATCTGTTTCGGCTTTCACGAGGTTCTCGTCATACGGAATGGTAATGTCGACCAAAAATATCGTTGACTCTCCCAGGTCCATCAGCACAATATCAGGCTTATTCGCAAGAATACGAGTAGTCCTGTCTGTGATGATGGCCCGGTCCCAGTAGAGCCTGGCGCGATCATTTTCGAGCACGGCTTCCGGCAAATACTTGTAATATGGCAATTTCCGGTTCACGAGACCGTATTTCAGAGCGAGCTCCTGGTGAAGAATTCTGGCTACTAGATTGTGCCTGTCAATAACTCAGAGTTAGAAAGCGCCGAACAACCGGAGATGACATACCGAAGTGACTCACCGGGATGCGACAAGTTCGACAGATGTCGACGGTGCCATCCTTTTATTATTATATTATTATTGGCATAATTCGTTGCGAGCGTGTTGCCAGTGATGAGAAATGGACGTTGAGACGACGATAAGATACGTATGAGGAAACTCGAAGTTGCTCAGCGAGCTACGAGAGGATTATGCTCGTTTTTATGTGTGATAAAATTCAAAATTAGATGCGCTCGCTTTAAATTTCACAGTTCGTGAGCAACCCGGGCTCAAACCCGCCGGCACCAATGAAATTTTTTTTTTCAAATCAAACATTTATTAATTCATAAGCATGGGTATTACAGGATGTCACATATAAAATTATTATAAGATACAGCCATGTTTCACCTTAGAGGTATATGAACAAAATTGAAGTATATTTTTACATTTTGTCATCAAAAAATATTCTTATGTCATAATACACTTTTTCAACAAGGAAGCCATTGAGCGCAGTTTTAAATCTTTTGATATCATTAATTAATCGTATATTTAACGGGATTTTATTATAGATTTTTGGTGCCATGCAATTTACACACATTCTTCGAAGAAGTGGTTTGCATTTGTGATTAACTTTCAATGTTCCTTCACGACGACTTCCGGCAGTATTCATTTCAAAATAAATTGGGTTATTTCGAACAAAGTTTGCAACCTCATATATATACATACACGGTAGAGTCAGAATTTTATATTTGCGAAAGTACGGTTCACATGAATCATCCTGATTTAGACCGAACATCGATCTAACACACTTTTTTTGCGCTTTGAGGACACTTTGTTTTTCAGTTGTGTTGGCCCAAAATATTATTCCATACCTTAAGTTTGATGCAACATATCCGTGATAGGCTGTTAGAAGAGTTTTAACACTGGAAACCTTCCTTAGTTTATAAAGGGCATAAGAGAATTGGTTTAGTTTTTTAATTAGATTATTAATATGAGGTTTCCATGTCAGCTTATTATCTATAGTCAAACCCAAAAATTTTGTAGTGTCTACCTCTTTAATTGAATTCCCAGAGTAGTTAATGTCAAAATTTAAAGGATAATTATTTCTTTGTTTAAAGTTTATTACATGTGTTTTTGTCAAATTTATTGTTAGGTTATTTAATGTCAGCCATTTGAATAAAGATGTCAATGTATTATTAATGTCAATATTTATATTATTCTCATTATCGTCAGCAAAAATAGTCATATGATGGTTGATTACATTAGGAAAATCATTTATATAGATAATAAAAAGGAGAGGGCCCAGTACACTTCCCTGTGGTACTCCATAGTTTACTTGACGCTCTTTCGATCTGTATATTTTATTTTCACCGGTCTTAGAGTCAATTTTGGTTATATGTGTAATTTGTCTTCTATTACTTAAGTAATAGAAGATTAGCTTAAGGGCGTTGCCTCTTATACCATACCTTTCTAGTTTGTTAAGTAATGTTTTATGATTAATGTTGTCAAATGCTTTGGTCATATCCATAAATAGTGCTAGTGTAGGCTTTCGGTTGTTAACGTTTTTTACGACTCTTTTCAAAAACTCGTATATAGCCATACTAATGGATTTATCTTTTCGAAAGCCGTATTGATGCTTCGAAAATAGATTATTGGTTTCAAAGTAATCGTTTATTTTTTTATATATAATGTGTTCTATTAACTTTGAAAATATTGAAATTAGTGAAATAGGACGATAGTTTTTTAACAGCTTGTTGTCATCCTTTTTGAATATTGGGATAGTAATTGCCAATTTCAATATATCTGGAAATATTCCCTGTTCTAAACATAAATTTATAATGTAGCACAAGATGTGAGCTATTATATTCCCTACTGTTTTAATTTATTTTAATATCAATTTTAAGTGAAGACGTGAAGTCCTCTCAACTCCACACATTTGGGCTGCGCGATACGTGTCCCATAACCCTCTAAAAATTAGAGGACGTCTGTGCCCTATATTATATTACATTATATATTTTTACTTTATAGTAGTGAAAAACCTGTATTTGAACGAAAACTGGATAAGAATTTGTAATGTTAGGTGCGCTGCGCGGAATAAATGGTTGGACCAAGTATGTTTGAATTTAAAAATTTCTTGTAATTAGGTTTCTTGAAATTAATATATCGCAACTGTTTACTGTGTATAATAAATCATATCATAACTGTTTCCGTCGCTTAATTCCAGATATCATAATGAAATTTTACGGAATAACAATTATTACATTATATAAAGATTTTTTTTATTTAACTTCATATACATATTAATATATACAGGCGGATTATAGGCCTTAAGGCAATATCTACCATTTTATCTTAGAATAGTGCATAGTAATAATAAATAAAAGAGGTAGGTGTAAAAAGAAGCACAGAATGAGAAATAAGTAGGCATGTGCTGCATACCTTTAAACATACCGATAACTATATTTATATAAACATAATGCACATAATACAGATAAAAGTAAAATATATAAATATATTTTTATATATCCTATACCTTTAAACGAGCAGTTCTTATATATATATATAATATATATATATATATATATATATATATATAATCGGTATCTTGAAACGGCTCCAACGATTTTTATAAAATTTAGTGTCCAGGGGGTTCGTTTTGTCCGTGTTTTCAGGCAATGAAAAACTGCTACAATATAAAAGTTAAATTTTGACACAGTATAAATGATCGTAAATAGCTCAAGTGAATATCGGGCCGTCGCGAAATTATAGTGCCCTGGTTCGCGTCCTGTCTTCGGTCCGACTTTATTTTGTTTTTTTTTTTCAAGTTTTTTTCTTTTGTAAGAAAATCTATTATTTCGAACCCTGTTTATAGTATTTTTGAAACCTTCCGAAGATTTTCCTGACTTTTTCAATCATTTTTATAAAATCGACAAGAATGTTTCGAAAAATATCTGGCCACTGCGAATATAGCGAAAATATAAATTTATTAATTATTCATTGAAAATTGAGACCTTAAGCGCTCCTTTTTTAATTTTGCACCGGAGGCACAGGCGGCGATTAAAGCAGCTTTTGATATCGATTTACCATCATTCGAAGCGTAAACTCGATTATTGTCCTTCCAAATCACATGTTGTATAAATTGCTATTTGCTAGCTTAACCATTCGATGGAATATTGACCGTGATAACTAATAATCAAATCTATCGTGATAGCTTTGAAGGCTTGATTGTCATATAATTTTTATTTTTTAGAAATATTATTGTTTACTTGTGAATAAAAGACGGAATGCAAGTGATCTTTTTCACAACAACTTAAGTGAACTTAAGCGAAGAACAACTTAAGTGACTATAGCTTAACTCAAACTTGTAAGTCGTAAATTCAAATCCGATATTCGACTGCTTTCGTGAAACTCTCCTAGGCTTTTTAAAAAGCATTTTAGTTTTGCTTCAAGTGGGTTAAGGAGAAAGCAATATTAAAAGCTAAAAGAAATAAACTGCGCAGGTAATATTATAGATCCAAAAGTGTATACGAAAACATTGGCATTCAACTCATCCGAACTGACACTGGTAACAGTTTTTTTGATGCATTGTCAAGTACACAACACAGCCAGACATCGAAAACTAAAATTTTCGTAATTGCAGTACGATTATTCTAGCTGGAATTCGAACACTGGTACAATAGTTATTAATTACCTGTTATTTAACATACTACTCAATACAAAAAAAAATTCAAAATATTATTAGCTGTAACTTTTTTAACATTTTATTTGTTACCGTTGAAGCGGTAACGGATCGTGGACACTTCTGAACATAGGCCTGTTGTATAGATTGCCTCATAGGGGGATATTTGCCATAGTTGCCACACTTGGCAAGCAGTTTGGCAACCGCAGTTTTTTTTTAATTTCAGTCTTTATTAGGAAGACGCTGCTGCCCATCTGATTTGCTTCCCTCTGTCGAGTCTTACGACACCCACAAGATGATATGGGGTAGTGGATAATCCACCAAGGATTTCTAGAAATGCTGTTTTATAGAAAAAAATTAATTGTGTGATGAATTTTTTAAACTCTACAGATATAAATAATACTCACGTCTAACTCTAACCGTAGGCTTCTTGAAGGCAGTGCGAATATACGGCATCGACATCACCAACTCGATGTGCGGCGGTGGCGGTAGCTGCATACAAAATTATGTGAATAAATCAATATATTAGAATCTTTAACGGATGAAATGGTTTTACTATGTAATAATCGCTTCGTATTTAATAGATGAATCTGGCTTAATATTGCTTCGTATTTAATGGATAAAACTGGCTTAATTATGTATAGCTTCGTATGTGGTGTAACTGCAGGTAGCGACTTCGAATCCCGCGCAGGATAACTATTTATATGGTCTGTATTCCGGTCTGTATGCTTGTTTATATGTAATTTATGTGGATATTGAACGCCTCTACAATTCCTAGTGTGGTAGTCATTTGTCTTAATTTTGATTAAAAAAAAAACGTTTCTCACAGAAACTCTTAAGAGAAGTTCAAACAGGGCGTTTGAAGAAATAATAATTTATCGTGTGTACCAAACGAGTAATAGTCACGATGAACGTACGCATCCCATGATTTTTATGATCTAATTTAACTGAAATAGGTCAACATTGTTTAAAGATGTTTGAGTGCGAGTGAGTGACTGTGACTTTTAAAGAAGTAATGTTAACAAAGAAACACACAGTTCATCAGATGGTAAGTGGATTCTCACTCACTTTTTGCTGAAAACAAGGAATTTCATCTTAGTCCTCAAAGGTAACAACGCACTAAAAAACTAAAAACGGGACTGATACAGCATTGTGAATTACCATACGTGCCTTTGTTACACATTTTAACTTTCCACAATAGAGTATAAAGCCCCATTTACTCTATTCCTGCGTTCAGTCGTCGTTTTATATTACTTGAATAATAGATGTCCTTCATAGAGTCCGCCTGGGTTGATAGTACTACCTTCTTAACGAATTCTGTAGCTGCTACATCGGCTGGTTCAAATTAGGTAAGATCCAGTTGGTAAGGGAGCTAGTATAATAAAAGGCAGATACAGTCCATTTTAGACCTCAGGTAAGGTGGCATGCTGTGACCTCATTGTTTGAAGTTTGTAACGTTCACTTTATCAAGCCTACACTATTCCTATCGGAATTGGCTAGTGTAGGTCAAGAACACCTGTAATCGACTTCGAATAAAGGAGTCTATACATGTGTTGCCAGGTTAAGGACTAAGACGTAATGCTTCACATCCTGTAATTATACTGACTCTCTATAACCTTCATACAGGAACGCAACAGTGAAGGTACTGCTGTTTGGCAGCACAAGTAGGTGAGTACAGGGCGGTACCGGTCCTGAGAAGACTGGGGTCCAGGCAGAAAATGGGTACTACCCTTCGTTAGTGCGTCTTTGTGACTAATGATTATACTGGATGACCTTTTTTACCGTCTGGATGAATTAGGGTATAACATGAGAACGGAGTAGAAGCCTATGGCACTGATATTTTACAAAAAATGAAAACAAAAAATTTGAATTAAATAAATAAATGCATTAAAATCTATCGAAATTCAAATCATATTCACCCTACTTTACGAACGGCAATAAAACAATAAATTTAGTAAGCATATTTGACCTTGTCACTTCGCAGGATCACAGGCTCAAGAGCAAAGGGTAGAGTAATTGTTAGAAAAATTTTTTGAAACGTTTAATTCAAAATGTTTGTATTTATTTTTTGTAAAATATCAGTGACACAGGCTTTCACTCCGTTCACATGTTACATCCAAATTTTTTCAGACGATAAAAAAGGTCATACAGTATATTCCTTTGTCACTACAAAATAAAATAAAATATGCCAAATGTTAGAATTTTCGGTGTTATTATAGTTCTCTATTAGTAAATAGAACGCCGTAAATATATTTGAAAGCTGAAACCCTAGCGTTTAATAAATGTCATACACGAGGAAGTAAGTAAGACCTTGTGAGTACTGATCATGCGATAGGGTTTATTAGGATTCGCCTCGATTGGCGACCCTTAAAATGGTACCCTCGCTTGAATAGCCATCTGGCCCCACTATAATTTGCTCGAGATGATGTTTATTAAGCACTACGGGGCCGTTTCTGTACCAAACGATATAAAGACTCGTACGACTCAATATACAAAAGATTTAGTTCTATAAAAAGTAATACAGTTAAAATTCAGAGCATACGTAAATATTCATGCTTTTATACATGAATTTGTGATTATTCCTTGCCAATTTCGACCGCAGTGGTCACTCATGAAAACGTACTATTGGGTGCTATAAACAAGGCAAAAGGCGTAGTTTCTAGTCTGCAATTGCAAGGCCCTGGCTACTGATATATTGTTAAAAATATTAACAGACACTTGCATTAATACAATGATTTTATAATAAGTTAAGACTCTACCATTTTGGTCTCCGAAAAGGTGTTATTTTTGCGAACTGGTGTAAATTTTAACAACCGTAAGAGTTTTTAAGCAAGTCTAAATTGGATAAGAGTTTTAACTAAACAATTTAGTGCTATAAATTTACAGTAGCAAGTACAAAGGCACACTCGTTCAACTTGGGATCGATGTTGCCTTATAGGACCCTATAAGAGATTGCCTCAAATTCATTGCTGGCCTTTCTATGGCTTCGTCCATCTTTGTGTCGTTATTCTATCATTTCTTTGCTATCGACCCGTATACGCCCACTGCTGAGCTTGGGACTATACCGATTTAGGGAAGAGTGTGCAAGAGTGAGTGTGTGTGTGTGTGAAACCATTCCTCATTTCGGCCCGTGGATGTCCTGATATGACTATGGGAAATATCAATAAGATCTTATCGTCTTCGATAGGTGGCAGTATAATAGTATTGTTTACGTCAGACTGAAAGTACCCAGAGAAGCGGCAAACAGTGACGCCAAAGGGAGACGTCTGACGCTGCCATAGTCAATCCACATGCCTAACGATAACGAGGATATCCTTTTCATCGTTGCCAATCATGGGTTGGACGAGATGTTACTACTTTATTAACTTTCCCTTTGGTGAAATGTAGAAGCAACAATTTCAAGTTCTCTGTGCGCTTAGTGGTACGTGGTAGAGCCACGCTGCGGCTATATTATGGTTGTAGCACGAATGGGTTGGCTCGACCGGGGAAGGACCACGCTCTCACAGAATACCAGCGTAAATATTGCTGTGTTTCGTATGGTGAGTGTAGGAGACCCTTTTTTTTACTGGAAACGAAGCATTCCATCTTAGTCCTCAGGGGTGACAAGTGATTACGCATCTGCGTTTTGGTTCTTAATCGAGGATAAATGTACATGTCTATGTGCCGCAGCATCCACTTACCATCAGGTGGACTGTGTGCTCGTTTGTCACCCTTATTCTATAAAAAAAGAGACCAGAGACTAGTATTTATTAGTAGTAAGTATAAAAAAGAGATAACGATTTTAGATCAGTAAAGATTAGAGAAACAATTTATCGCTCTATATATATATATATATATATATATATATATATATATATATATATATATATATATATATATATATATATATATATATCAGTTTGGAAATTATCAATTAAAAACAAAATTCACTTATATTAAATATGCGTTTAATTTGCTCGTTGATAATTACTACTAAATATACTTACAGTTTTAGATATTGCAGACACCCACTCCCTTTGATAGCGTTAAAAAAGAAAATAATTTGAATATTACTTAATAGTAGTGAAAACTTAACATAAAACCATAATATTTGTGTAATAATAATGTAAAAACATAGTATTCACGAACGCACGTGCGTTAAAACTCACGATACCCATCCACACCAGCTGGATGCTTGGCGGTCCACCATCGTTTTACTAGGAGTTTTCTTCCTCGCACGACCCCTCTGTGGAATCGTTTACTACCGGCGACATTTCCGGACCGATACGACTTAGAGCCATCAAGAGAAGAGGTTACTCCTATCTGAAAGGCTGGCGACGCACCTGCAATTCCCCTGATTTTGCAGTTGTTCATAGGTGGCTGTAGTCACTTAGCATCAGGGGAACCAAAGGAGTACCCACCCCCTAAAGTTCTACCACCTAACACACACTTAAGCTACTATTTCACGCCGGTATTCTATGAGAAAAAAAAACCAAAGGCTAGTTTACCCCCTCTTCTATAAAAAAATAGTGTGAGAGACATAACAGTTTTCTTTATATTAGATAGAAGACAATAATATTTTGTAGGGTTTTCGAGTGAAATATACTGTTTTATTTATAGGAATTTTTAGTGCTTATTGAGCACCTAGCGGTCAAGCTACATCATGAGGTAACATGTGCACATTCCAGAAATAAAACGGCAGTCACTAACGAAACACAGAAACCATCTTTTCCCGGTCCTACCCCGATCAAACCGATCCATTCGCACTCGTACTGTACTCGTAGCTATGGTACGTTGGCAACGTCGTCCTATCACGAAAAGATTATCTTTAAAAGATTTAATATTCATTCTTACATAACAGCATGTCACCCAGGCTTCCTTCACACACGCTTGCAGGAATTGGCAACCGTAGTTTTTTATTAGTTTAAGTTGTTAAGGTGTAGTGGCGGTGTCAGAATATCCACTTCCCCACATCGTCCCGTGGGTGTCGTAAGAGGCAACTCAGGGAAATTGAAATGGGAGATGGGCGGCAGCATGTTCCTGATGACAACTGAAAATAATAAAAATACTGGATGCCAACCCGCTTTTCAAGCGTGGAAATATGGAAGATATGAGGTCATCTATGGGGCCTTTTATAGGCTGTAATGGATGGATGTGTGACGACCTGGTAAGAAATGCAGGAAGTCGATGGATACAGGTGGCTCAGGACCGTGCTTTGTGGCATACCTTAAGGGAGGCCTGCGTTCAGCAGTGGACTTGTGAAGGGCTGTAATGATGATGATGATGATGAAGAAGTTATCATCAGGAGGATGCTTCTGTTCATCTCCAGTTTATTGTGTTTCCATCTATCGCATCTTACGACATCCTTGGATCGATATAGGGTAGTGAATTCTCTTACTGGAGATGATATCCGAAGAAGAGATTTTATATTCGCAGATGCAGATTGATAAATTGTTTATCCCTTCATAGTGACACCCGTTTCGTATTTCCCGCCGTAATCCGGTTGGAGCCAATTATTATAAATAATGACATAGATCACGTTTCCATGCCAAGGACGTGCGGAGAATAATGTTGGTAATTTGCAATTGTAACACAGTGTTGGACGTGGAAGGCGGATCTTTTATGGAATGATGAATTAACTAATATATAAAGGTTAAGTTACTAGATATCTTCATTATTTGGAGATTTTATTTTATAAAATAAGTATGACAAACGAGCACACAGTCCAACTAATATAAAAAGGTAAGTGTGCTGTGGCCCATAGACACCGCTCTATCTTCACATATATCCTCGATTAAGAATGAAAATGCACATACGTTGTCATCTCTGCGGACTCAGTTGGAATGCCTCGTATCCAGTAAAAAACGTCACAATGTAGCCCACACGATATAGTTATATAGTTATTTTTGTAATAAAGAGCGAAATATTGAAATGTCCCTACAAGAATTCGAAAATTTGTGCTCATAGTTGTCTGATAAAATTAAAAGTGCGACACAAAATGTAGAGAAGCAATTTAAGAGAAACTGACGACTGTAATGTAATGTTTCTTTGTTCGATTCCAAACAAAATTTAATCAAGCTCTATTTGCTATAATTGGAAATAAATCTACAGTGCCTCAAAAACATAACGTTATACAAGTAGATTTAACCCATAAATAAAATATACTTTCAACAGTAAAATTATGAAAGACATGGCATTACTCAATTCGTACATTTCCATACAGTGGATACTTTGAGTACCACTTTAACGAATATTCGGTGATTTAGCCGAATATTCGGCCGAATACGAATATTCGGTAAACCTGCCGAATATGCCGAATACCGAATATAAAACGAATATTCGGCCCACCTCTAATATCCAGACATCGATCGTGTTTTCGGCAGTAAGCTTTTAAAATCGTTTTCGAAAAAAACATCATTTAGGATCGAAAACCGAATCGAATTCGAAAACAGTTTAGTGAGTAAGCCTTCAAGTCAAACAAATGATATCGCATTAAGAAAACTTTATATAAATTTATAACACACGCAGCTGTAAATTCTCTGAACGATAAGAGGCATTATTATGTACGTGTATTTATTTTTTGTACCCTATCTGGCATAAAATACTTGTTTATGAATTATGTGTCAGTACAGCGAAGCAGTTTTTGTGAACTTTTCGCCCTGTAATAAAGTGATAACACTTGTTTGTGAATACTTGTACAGGTCGCCATTTTTATTAATACATTATGATGTCGTCATTTTTCGAACTTTCATGCTACGCTCTTGTTTTTCTTTCAGATATGGAGTTTGTAATGTTAGTTTTATCCGAGAACATTTATTTAAAGTCATAAGGTTTCTGACTTTTTTGTGTTTTAAATACACATTTTTTTTATATAGACTAAGAGTGGCAAACAAGCACACAGTTCACCTGATGGTAAGTGGATGCTGTGACCCAAGGATATTTACATCTAATCTCGTTAAGGAATCAAAATGCAGATGCGTTGTCTAAGAGTACAAAGATGGAATGCCTCATTTCCAGTATAAAAGGTCTCCGATTCTGCACACTTGGCATAAGAAACACACGACGTTAAACTGCTGTTTTATGTTTATTTTCTGTGAGAGCATGGCCTTTCCCCGGTCGATCCGAGATCCGACCCATTGGTGCTACAACCATAAAATACCTGCAGCTTGGCTATTTCGGCAACACGCAGTCATACAAACATCCCAGTTGCAAAATACAATGAGATACAGATTTACAAACCTGCGAGGTAGTACCGAGAATAATAATATTAATAGCGGATACATACCGGGTTATTTTCTCAAAGAGTAGCCAAATTTTAAACTTAAGTTCAAATATATCAATAATGATTTACCATTATTACAGTTTTTTCAAAATACGAGTAAATAAGGCTTCTACTTTTATTTGTAATTATTCGAAAATGAATGTGATTTATGGGCAACAACTTTTTTGCCTACCGATCAACCCTGGCGAATGTGTGCGTGCGCAGTTAAATCAGTTAAAATAATGCATTACCACGTATTATGAATTTAAAAGATAAAAAGGACAGAATGTTTGATATTTTTTTAAATTAACTTTTCTTCACAATTTGCTTATATTACTTATTCTGAACCTTCTCTGCATATTTGGCCGGTTATTGCAAAATAATCCTGTATATAATATGTTAAAGTTAACAAAATTTATTATTACTACCGGTAATATGGCATGCGATCTTTATATTTTTTTTTTATAGAAGGGGGGGCAAACGAGCACACGGTTCACCTGATGTTAAGTGACTACCGCCGCCCATGATCAACCGCAACACCAGGGGAATTGCAGGTGCGTTGCCGGCCCTTTAGAAAGGAGTAAGCTCTTTTCTTGAAGGTCCCCAGGTCGTATCGGTCCGGAATAATCGCCGGTGTAAACTATTCCCCAGAGAGGTCGTACGCAGAAGAAAACTCCTAGTGAAACGTACAGTGGTGGACCGCCAAGCATCGGGAGGTTTGCCGCGTAGTGCGATCATGAAATTTGGCGGCTGGGATTAATCCGAACAATTCCTCAGAGCATTCCCCGTGATAGATGCGATAAAATACGCAAAGAGATGCAACATCTCTTCGCAGCGCCAGTGAATCGAGCCGATCGGAAAGCACTCGGTTGTCGACGATTCGAGTCGCTCTGCGCTGGATGCGGTCAAGTGGAAGGAGCTGGCACTGAGGAGCCCCAACCCAGAGATGGGAACAGTATTCCATGTGCGGCCGAACCTAAGCCTTGTAAAGTTGCAGACGGTGTGCCGGCAGGAAATACTGTCCCGCTCTGCTGAGCACGCCAACCTTTTTATAGCCCAATTTGGCCTTCTCTTCCAAGTGACCACGAAACTGCACGTCACTCGATATGTCGATGCCGAGGATTCCGATACTGGCTGAGGCAACAGCAACTTGAACGATAATATACGAGACTAAATACAGAGCTAAATTCTACATAGGTAGTCAACTTTTGAGTTTCAGTTGCCAATATTACAAAAGTTATTATTAGTAATTATTATTTCGTATTGTGGAGTCGATTCAAGTAAGTACAGTTTTTGTTGCTTCATCTGGTACAAATACATTTAAATATTTATAAACGTGTGTTTGAACGCGAGAGGGGCGTACTAGAAACTTTTTTCATAAAATTAAATTTGCTTAAAAAATCTGGACAATCAACATATTATAATGAAAATATTTTTTCTACTTCAAATTACATCCAAATGTCAGTTTTATGATAGTCTCTGTTACGTCGTTGTAGAAGGACATGAGATCTGATGTTAAAGTTTTCTGGACTTTTACCGAATCATAAAAAATAAAAAGTACTAAGCTCAAGTGGCTGCCGATTCGCCTTCGCGGAATACAGATATCTTATCTCTTATAAGCTGCGTATTGTTGAATTTCTTCCTTCGTGTCTTTAAGTACGATTTGTTTTCCTTCGCGATTCACACCACGTACTTTGAGATTATCAGAAGATTAAAAGTTAAAAATCAAACAATGAATTTAATTTCTTGGACAAGTCGTTTGCTGTTCAAGCAAGTCTGTAGAATACCCCATTAACATTATGACACACTCAGCATGGAATATAATGAAATATTTTTTATTTAATTTACATTACAAGAGTACTTCACATAATTGTCAAATCAGTTTTTCAGATTTTTTTATTCAAATCATTCCCAGGGTTTATTATCAATAATATGCTCTAGGATTCTAGAACTGATGACTCTTTGGAGTCTACTTCTTATAATAGGTACTTGTTGCTTATGCTTGTTCCTAGTAATCATCAATCTTTGCCATCTTTTAAAAAACTTGTAAAGAATTGCTACCAGAATGTGTTAGTTTGAAAGCTTCATTTATAATTTAATTCATATTTATATAAATTAAATAATAAATTGTCTTTCAAATTTAAATATGCAGTTTTTGTTGATACTTAATTTCATTTAATGTTATTAAAATTTATATTTAAATAAACACTTAATATTATATCGCAGTCTTAATGCATAACTGTATTTAATGATCGATCGAAGATACGGTTTCAGTTTCGGCCACTTTCGGTTAAAAAATCTAGTTCAAAAATTGGCCGAACTGTCGGGCGTACGAGTTTTTGAACATTGAACTCTCTCTTATAATTAAAGCGGCTAAGTGCGAGTCGGACTCGCCCATGAAGGGTTCCGTAGCAGCAAGTAACATAATATTATAACCTTTATTTTGCGGTTTAAGATTTATGACGTATTAAAAAAAAAGTACTTACTAGATCTCGTTCGAACCAATTTTGGTAGAAGTTTACATGGTAATGTACATCATATATATATATTGTGTTATCATTCTCTCATTTTAGAAGTTACAGGGGGGGGGGGAACGCACATTTTACCATTTTGGAAGTATTTCTTGCGCAAACTATTCTGTTTAGAAAAAATGATATTAGAAACCTCAATATCATTTTTGAAGACCTATCCATAGATAGATAGACCCCACACGTATGGGTTTGATGAAAAAAATATTGAGTTGCAGTTCTAAGTATGGGCAACCCCCAAAATTTATTGTTTTCTTTGTACTTTTGTATGAAAATCTTAATGCGGATCACAGAATACATCAACTTACCAAGTTTCAACAGCATAGTTCTTTTAGTTTCGGAAAAAAGCGGCTGTGACATACGGACGGACATACAGACAGACAGACATGACGAATCCATAAGGGTTTCGTTTTTTGCCATTTGGCTACGGAACCCTAAAAAGGCATCCTTCATTGATGCTGCAACAATATTGGACATAAGAATCAAATCAAAATATTTCTATTCCGATGAAGTGGATGTAGCAATGTCAAAAAAAATATCTTTTTTGACGGAGTGTAACGACGACCCTGTACTGCTTGGCGGCGGAGAAAATGTTCACCCAGTTTCTATAGAACTGATCTTGCCAGCCTACATATTGCATGTACTATTATAGGAGATAAGGAGAGTCTTTGCAGGATAATACTCTTAATCAGATAGAGATAATTGGATCGGTAGATCAAACAATGTTTTGAAAATAAATCACTTTTAACTGTGGGAGCCATTTTTTTTTAAAAGGGAACAGTAGTTTATAACTCTGAGAAAAGCTGTCTTAAGGTATTTTTTTATTTGAGTAGCTATCTAGTGTCGCTGGACAAATATACGCAGATCGTCGAAGCAACCTGTCATTTCATTCATTCTTTACGGCCCTCCATAAGTACATCACGCTCCTGAGCCACCCGTATCCATCGACTTCCTGCATGCTTTACCAGCTCGTCACTCGTCAATCCATCTAGTGGAGGACAACCCTACACTTCGCCTACCGGTACGAGGCTGCTACTCGAGTACCTTTTTCCCCCATCAGTAGTTGGTTCGAGCTATCTAAATCAGCTTACTAATCCGTTGGGCCATGTCGGTTACTACGGATATCCTCATTTTTAAGCATGCATAAAAACCCTGAGCATAGCCTCTCCATAGCTCGCTGAGCAAACTTGAGCTTCCTCATACAACCAACAGTTTAGGACTACGTCTCAGACCCATAAGTCATCACCGGCAACACGCACTGGTTGTACAATCTTGTTTTTGGGATTTTGAGTAATCTGCTTGGTGAAAATGTAGAAAAATTGCTTTTCTTAGTGTACAAAATAACACTTTTTACTAACGATTACTAAAATTAATTAGTAATGAAAAATAATGTATCATTTTTTCTTTTCATTTTAAAGTAAGTACTTAATTTGCGTACTAATTAATAGCTGTATAATCTTTTGTTTTGTTGTGACTTTTTAAGTTATGTAATCACCAAGTGCCATCTACAAGAACTCAATTAAAATAATTAATTAATCTAATACATTGCGATTTGTGTGACAGTTAATTTTAATTGTAATTAACTCAATTAATACGTCTGTACTTTATATCTAAGTGTTGTTTTGAAGTGAAAACTTCTTTAGCGGCGTTGTACACTTTTTTGTAATGGGTAAAAAATGTTAAACTCGCGTCAGGACATGTGACCCTGATCGAAAATGCGTAAGACGGATGGAGAGAAAGAGACAGCCGGCGCGGCGTAGGAGAGGAAGTATCCCCCTCTCTTTCTACGGCACGGCGAAAATGTATACCTGCACCTGCTGTGACGTTTAGTTGTGTACGATAGCGCAATAAATAAATATTGTATTCTACCACATAAATGATAGTACTTTTATACTGATAATTAAAGCAATTCGTGCAAAATTATTCCCTAACCATTCCAAAATATCAAAAATGCACAACGTTAATATTCAAGTTTTCACTTCTGCCGGCACTCTCGGAGTGCAACCCGTCGTTTTTTTTTGACAAAGTTTTCTTACAAGAGTAAGTCTTTAACACGTTTATTTTCTCATGTTAAATTGTCATTATAAAGTTTACGTTTACGTTATACAAGAAGATCTATGCCCACATAACCACATATACATATAGGGAGACTGGTGCCCAAGATAGGTTACCCTGTGCTAAGGGATCATCAGGCCCCTCCCTCAGCAGCAGTTATATTACTATAAAAAATTAAAAAAATGTATAGCTAGTTGTATTAAGAGAACATTAAAATGAACTTGTTCAGTTTGGAGAAACTCTGTGAAAATTATTATAAAAAGAACATACTAGTAAAGATAGGTATTAGGCACGTAGATACCAGGATTAGAAAAAAAAAGGATACAGCTTATATACAGACTATATTTTATTCCTCAGATATGCAGTTTTGTCACTATGTTTTCTTTACATATGAGCACAAAAAATTGACTATATCAATTTCATTACTGGCGGCGGGTTATCGAACCCGGGTTACTCGCGTACTTTACGGCGAGAGTTTAGCCCTTGAATCACCGCGGTTCTATATCCACCAAGAATAATTGAGGTCTTTTTTTATAGAAGAGGGGGCAAACGAGATACGGTTCACCTGATCCTAAGTAACTACCGCCGCCCATGAACAACTGCAACACCAGGAGAATTGCAGGTGCGTTGCCGGCCCTTTAAAAAAGAAAAATCTCTTTTCTTGAAGGTCTCTAGGTCGTATCGGTCAAGAAAAATCACCGGTGGTAAACTATTCTACAGGGAGGTCATACGCGGAAGAAAACTCCTAGTGAAACGTACAGTGGTGGACCACCAAGCATCCAGATGGTGTGGATGGTGTCAGGAGTTTTGCCGCACGTAGTGCCTTCATGAAATTTGGCGGCTGGGATTAATCCGTACAATTCCTCAGAGCACTCCCCGTGGTCGATGTGAAAGAAAATGCAAAGAGATACATCTCTTCGCAGTGCCAGTGAATCGAGCCGATCAGAAAGCACTCGGTCGTAGAATCGAATAATATATATATATATATATATATATATGTTCAGTTATATGCCTTAATATAGATAGATAACTATTGCATTTGAAACAGTGGTCATATCGCTTGAAGCGATTTAATATATAAGCGATTCAATATGCATTAAAATAAAAGCAGATAAAAATAAAATTATTATCATACAGTTCCACTCTTAGCACTATAGTACTAAAACAGTAGCACTATAGTGCGAAGCCTTTAGCTGCCTGTTAAATATTAAATAATAATTTACACTCTGGGTGAGAAAAGGTCCTTCTACTTGTCTCCAGCGGTGACGACTTGCTGCGGATAACACTTTCGTTTCTGTCTTAGATTAATATTATAAATTTAAAAATATTGGATGCAAATCAAACTATATTATATATCAAATTTTCATATCTCACCTCATCTCAGTATCGGATTTTGCGAGCATCCACACAACGTTGCCTGGGTCTCTTCTAGAACCTAATGCCATTAACTGGGACAATCTCGCTCCAGGCGGAAGGGCTGGTCGCTTCGGAACCTGGCCGGTCCACGTTGAAATCGCCAACATTTCTGGACTCTCCTTGACGAGATGTTTTTGTGTGGCTAGGCATTTCCCTGAAGCGTCCTGTTGGATAAAAGTTAATTTTTCACAAACGAGCTTTGGATATTTCAACTATTGAAGGTTAAGATTAACAGTCATGATAGCTCTGAGGTTAAGCGCTTGCCTTTAATATCACAGTATGATCGCAATCTGGGTTCAATCCATGCAATTTATCACGCGATAGAAGGCGAAGAAAAACATCGAGAAGAAACTAGCATGTCTAAAGAATAAACAATAATTGTAGACATCCAAGAAATAGAAGATTCATTGCTTTTGCTCCATAACCTTCGTGGAAATAAGAGATGACTTGTGCCCAGTAGTGGAATACGTTTAAGGGCGTCTTTTATTTCATACGAACGTATTACACATAGACTTCTGAAGCAATTATGTGGAAAATAAAATAATACTCTGTTAAGTGCTTTGACGTTGACATTTACTATTTAATAAAAGTACAACTTTAAATGTGTTTTGAAATACGTCTCAAAACTTATCAACACACAAGGTTTAATAAGAGGCTGTGAAGCATTACATCTAAGATTCGGGTGTGACGATGCATCTTCAGCCTTTATTTTGAATGAGACACATACATACAGATTCTCTCGCATTTAAATTACTTTTATCAACTTATTTTTAATTCCCGACGTTTCAGGTGCTTTACAGCACCCAGGGTCAGGGGAGGGGACTGAGATGTTTGACGTGCCAATATCATAGCCCGGCTACCTTCAATTTTTAAAAATTAATTTTCGGTCCGATCTACGCAGAAACAGCTTATAGTATCTTGAAGTTTTGCAGTGGTAGGTATGCTTGGGTTTGGGTTTAATTATGTTAATCATAGGATCCCAAAGAGATGGCAGCACCCATCCATCTTCTATATTGAAGTTAGGATGTTTTTAATTTAAATAGCCTCGCGTCATCATCCTTGGTAGGAACAGTGTTCTTTTGCGAGGATTTGTGGTTTATCAAATCTGATGTAATGGTGAAAACAATCTTGAACATGTTCACAGACTGCAGACTTCCCGGAGCGTCGATGCTTCACGTCAACTATATGGCTATACGCTCTATGGTCTTACCCCGGTCGAGCCGATCCATTCGTGCTCCCACTATAAAATAGTTGTAGCGTGGCTTTACCATGCCCTAAATTAAATTATTGTGACTTTTTCACAGTGTAAATATAGAATTTTTAAATATTTCGCCTATCATGCCACCTAGCACCTTGCTATCTTACGTAAATCGGCTAGGTATATAGGATCGTTTTGTTCTTCATCGACAGCTCTAAAAGTCCATATAAATCTCTGATATAAAGCTCTAAATAGTCATATGGGTCTGTCCGATTTCAGAGAGAATTTGCATCAATCATTTTTAAAGCATATTTATTAATAAGTCAACCGTAACGTCGTTAACGGGTCCACTTTTCGTGATTTCTGTATTTGGCATTAAAACTACATACATTTGTTGTAAACATTAGTAGTTTTAGTCCTATTACAGCCCACAGCCCACTGCTGAACATGGACCTCTCCCATAGATTGTCTCGTAAGGGAGATTTGGTTATAGTTGCCATGCTAGGCAGGCGGGTTGACAACCGTAGTTTTTTTACTTTTTTCAGCTGTTTTCAGGAAAATGCTGCTGTCCATCTCCTGTTTCAGTTTCCCTCTGTCGCCTATTATGACACTCACAGGACGATATGGGGTGGTGGATATTCGTACACCACTGCTACTCGGTTTACTTAATAATAATTACTTAATAATAATTACTTAAGAATAAGGCTCGCAACCGTAATAATTCAAAGGTATAGCCTTAATTACGCATAAACAAATCAAATAAGCAATAAAATCTCTCATGAACGCTCAAGTAGTGCTCGTAAGCGACTATTTCGATTGTTCAGAATATTTTAAAGACAAAGCCGAGTAAGCGCTCTGTTCAATTATCAATAGCAGATCAGATTCAATCAGGTGGATAAAGTACTTTATCGACTAAAAGCTTTTAGCCACTCCATGTTTTTTTTTAAATTTTATTTATAAAACTTACAGTACATCGAAATCATCCTGATCATCCACGATGGACTGTAAGCGGCACTGCAGTAGCCCTTATCAATGTGGCTATTGCAGTTCAAACATTTACGTAGTAGAGCCACGCTGCCACTATATTATGGTTGTGGCACGAATGGGTCGGCTCGACCGGGGAAGAACCACGCTCTCACAGAATACCAGCGTAAAATAGCAGCTCAATGCTGCCGTGTTTCTTATGGTGAGTGTAGAGAACCGAAGACCCTGTTTACTGGAAACGAGGCATTCCATCTTAGTCTTAATCGAGGTTAAATGTAATGTAGATGTCTATGGGCCACAGAATTCCCTTACCATCAGGTGGACTGCGTGCTCGTTTATCACCGTATTCTATAAAAAAGTAGAAGACTAAAGATGCGTTGTTAGCAGTCTAAAATAGAATGCCTCACAGTCCATAATTATACATTTACAGGTAGCGTCCAGGATACAGGAGAAAGTACTAGTGTTGGAATTTCTCCTGTATCGTAGAGACTTTTTACGTTGGTTTTTTTTTGCTTACTTAAAAAAATATAAAGATTGTAAGATTAAAGCAATTTTGAATGCCTTCCCTTTAATAAGTACTCAAGATCGACTGAAGCAAACTTGAGATTATACGGTACCTGCTAAAGTAAAGTAGGTCGCTATCGACGACGCTATTGGCACCTGAATTGAAAACTTAGGATTTACAAAACTTCAGCGCGATTACCTTTCAACTATGCCTTTGAACTTAAGCCAAAAGTAATTAGTGACTTCAGAGTGATTTTCTCAAAATTCTTTACGTGGTAGAGCCTCGCTGCAGCTATATTATGCTTGTACACATAGAATACTATAATACACAATAGAATGGCTATCAACCTTATTTTGTACGTGATTCGGCGTCGCCGGGAGCACACATATAAGCAATTACGTCGTATTATCAGTTAATCACTATTACAGACCCGATTCGCTGCGTTGACAGACGGATTTTAATACATATTTATCTGTAAATAGCGTGCAATTTGGCATTTTCTAAATAATTTGCATGCGAAATTTGGAAACGATTGTAACGTCAAAACACATCTCGTGTTGACATTTATACGTTTGAATTGACGTGTTAGTGGCATTTTAGTGGCTACAGGGGCTCCGCCCACTCCCCCGTTCTAATATGTATGTATTATAGTATTATGTGCTCTTACAGAATACCACTAAACTTAAGCCAAAAGTAATTAGTGACTTCAGAGTGATTTCCTCAACATTCTTTACGTGGTAGAGCCTCGCTGCATCTATATTATGCTTATAGCACGAACCACGACCACACTCTTACAGAATACCAGCGTAAAATAGCTGTTCAAATAAGCTGGCTTAATGCTGCTGTTTCGTATTGTGAGCGTGTATTCCATTTTAGCCCTCCGAGGTGACAACACATTTGCATTTTAATTTATTTTGATTCTTAATCGAGGATAGTAGGAATGACTATGGCCCACAGTAATGATCAGGTGGGTTGTGTGTTCGTTTGTTCGATTATTGAAATGCAAATTAAAATATTTATAATTTGCCTACATTGTCAAAAGGCATTGTCAAATATGATAGTAACTTGAACAAACTTTTATATCATAACTAAAATAAAATCATATAAAAGTATACTATAAATTCAATCACTTAATCAACATCAATCTTAATTCGACTTACACTTTTCGTAAAATAATTATCAGAAAACTTGTCACAGATTGACCCTGAGCGTGATCTTTCTCATATAGATCATTACGTACATTTTAATTTAGTTGCTTTTATTATATCATATTAAGTAAGGTAAGATTATGAATATGATTAGTTGTAATGTTAATTAAAACACTTAGTCTGATTAATTTAAATTTTTTTCAAACTCTTTAATTGATAAAGGTTTGCAGGCTTTTACGAAATTACTTTTATATCGTTTCTTTGTTTCTGTTTTTAACTCACTTTTAGATTTATTTAGTAATACTAGCAAAATGTGATAGGACGGTAAGCATGAAAACTTTACCTTTAAATGATTCTACATACACTGTGTATGTAATGTGAAATGTGTGTAACGTATGTAATGTAAAATCGACCCAATTTTTAGTTGTTTTAGTTTAGAACCAATAAATAAATAAATAACTATAGTACCTGCAATAGTCAATCGTTGAATATAAACAGTAAAAAGAATATAAAAATATTCATTTTGCAGAAAGATTGAGAGGGATTTATGCATGTATTACGCAGTTACCTCTTATCGTCTTTTTTCAGTGTTGCGGACTTATGGCGACCGTAAGTTCTACAATATTGATCATATTGCGTAGTAGGAAATTTCTGTAAAAACACACGGTATTGGATTATCACAAGGATTTAAATCTTTGGATTGCCAGAGATAATGATGATGTAAATAAAATTTAGAATTATGCCGCAGTGAGCGATAGTGAATCTTGGAGCATGTAAATTGTATAGTATGATTCTAAAAGAGATAAATAGAGATAAAAAAGCACTTTCCTTATTCCTTCCTCGATTAGGATCTTAATTGTACTATGTGTTATTAAAACTGTACAGTGTTATTTCCTTTTTGGCTTAACCTTAAATATAGGAATCCTGAAGTGTAGTGGAATAAGCCCTGAAGTATTTACTACTAATTCACATAAATAAAGCTTCCAAGGAGTAAATACCAAGAAGCTACGAAGCATTATTTTTGTGTAGTTAAGACACCACCACCAAATTAAGATTTATGCAGGAGTTGGAACTTTTTCAACAAGTTGGGAGGTTACTTTGGTGATACTTTAAACATTGGCATGAGTCAAATACAAATAATCTTGCACGAACAATTAGGTGTAAAAAGGTTGTTTTCCCGATAGATACCGCGTTCGCTCTGTGAAGAGCAAAAAGCGGCTCGCGTTACTTGGTGCGTCAGAACTCTCGAAAGATTCCACGCAGGATCCTCAAATGCTGTATACAACATCGTATTAGGTGACGAATCTTGGATATACACGTACGAACCCG